TTCTTTTCGCTGAACAGTCGCAACTATTAGACGAGTGAGCGAGCGCGCGCGTGTTTTGCACAGCGAATTCTGCTCGATACATTCTTATTGTGAGGAAGAACGCGAGGAACGCGCGCGCGCGCGCGAGGTTTTCCTTTTGTACAAAAGCAACAACCGCTCTGTGTAACATTCCACGGTGAGAAGCGAGGGCCAGAGACACGTGTGTGATCGTGTACCGATCGACATTGACGAATATGAACGTGAAATCATGATACACAGTTCTTAGACAAACTGTGCAGCTTCTCAATGCTTCTAAAAATCGATGAAAATGTATCTTTTCTTCCAACGTGAACGAGAAATGAAAAGTTTTAGTTGACGAGTTCAATGAAATTTTTCGCTTCTCTGGAGTTTGTTCTCACGAATTCTTTTCCCCAGCATGAATCCGTGAAAAGTTCTATTGACGAATTCAGTGAGACTTCTCACTTTTCACGAGTTTACGCCAGGAAAAATGATGCATGATCGATATCTTGGTCCTGCCGATCCACCTTCATGCTAGAGCGGTTAGTTAATTAGCGTCCCTCCGGCATCCGCCAATCCGGAATTCGCAATGATGATGAGCAGAGCTCTTATTTTAGTAAATTGTAGTAAAGTGAGAGAGAGCGAGAGTAAGAATAATCGCTGATTGAAATCGACATCGCACAAGATTAACAAAGTAACAGCCGGTATATGTGCGTGTGTGCGTGTGTGTGCGGCGCGCGCGTGTGTTGGTGTATGCGTAATCGCTTCTCACGGGGAGAGATTCTATGGGCTCCGCGCGAACGAAAAACAAAGTAGGCGGGTCGGTCCGCACGCCATGAGTAATATTATAAAAAAAATTCTCGAGGAGATACAAATCCCGACGCGATCCTCAACAGAACGACGACAGAGAGACCGGTATATACGAATACACCGGTATATACGATACACCCGCGCGCACAAACTGAAAGAAAGAGAGAGAGAGAGAGAGAGAGAGAGAGAGCGCTGTGTGGTTTAATGTAGCGCGCAATGTAGACAGGTGCGACAATGTAGCTTGCAGCGCGATCAATGCCGCGAAAAGAGCGAGGAGTCGCTGAATTGTGCGAACGGTCGTCACAGCGCGCGCGAGGCCCGCTTGCAAATGTAAATACGATTGTGTGAGCGTGATTGCGCACCAGACGTGCCATTGTCGCGCCTGTACTTCTCGCGAGCGATACGATATCTACGATAATACTGCCTACGACCCGCGAAAGATTAGCGAAGCGTGTGTGCACGTTGAAGGAGGCGCGAACGAAGAGACGGCCTCGTGCATCCCGAGAGCGAAATATCGCGTGAAGTCGCGCGAGAAACACGCGAGAGAGGAACATTGTACGACGACAATCCGACCTCCTCGTTAGACGCGCGGCGCGGTCTCATCGCGAGCGCGCGGTGACTCTCCTCCGACGCCCCGTCTGCGGTGTTCGACTGAAGCGACTTGTCGAGTGGCTTGTTGAATTAAATAGAACAAATTCGTTGACGCTGACGCTTCTGTGTGCAGAAGACTGCGGGGAATATTCGAACGTCAAAGTGACGTCTCTCGTCCAGAGCGCGGTCTAACGAGAATGTCATTCGACGCGCGCCACAGTTCCAATCACTTCCGCCGATCTGCCTGTGTGTGTTCCGACGTAAAAGTCCGAACTGATCAATCTCACGATCGAGATCTAAAGTCTTAGAAGCAATCTGGAGCCTAGTAGTAGCTAACAGGTCCTGCACGACGTTCACAAGGTCCGAGAGTGAGAGAGGCAGAGAGAGAGAGAGAGAGAGAGAGAGAGAGAGAGAGAGAGAGAGAGAGTTACTTCATTAGCGTCCCGAAAGCCGGGACCTCCGAAATTTACGGCATGGCGTGTGTATAAGCTTGAGCGAAAACGAGACTCCGTTTATCAGCGTAGCGAGCACGTGAAGAAAGATAACGGTCGCTTGGCGAATGTCGCTTTCTCTGAAAAGAACGAATCGAATCAAGGGTCCTATTCTGTACGTATATCGAACGCAAACTATGTTCCTGACGCTCAAGCTGAAACAACGTTATAGAGGATGCTCGTGAAAGAGAAACGAGGCTTGGAATAGAAAGGACATATTTGACGTTCGCTATGCATCCAGAATAAGCCCCCAAGCCGTCACGGTGGAAGCAGCGTGGAATCACGGCGACGAAAACGAACGAACGAAAGCGATAGACCTACTTACTAGCGATGAACTGTATTAACTTCTCGTCTCGACTGCGTAGCATTTAGGTTTCGTTAAGTATTAGTTTTCTCTCGACAGCTCTGAGATGTGTGTCGATTGCAAAATAATATATATTACATATAAACATAAACACGTATACCCACAAACACACACACACACACACACACACACACACACACACACACACACACACACACACACACACACACACACACACACACACACACACACACACACACACACACACACACACACACACACACACACACACACTCACACACTCATGTATATCTTACGGTGAAAAATTGCGTGCGCCTTTCGCGGTGAATCGTCGCGATTTTCAACGACGCCTTCGCACAGCCTGCACGACGGCGAAGGCGACGACGCGCATTGAAACGGGAATCCCGGAAGTGTGATTCTCAACGCGAGTCCTCAACGCGATACGCGTTGTTAACCGACGTACCACATGCGAGCCTATGCCCTCGTGCGTGTGTGAACGCCGCCTCCTCCCCGTCGCGAATTTCCATCACGATCAGTGTATTCAGCGAGGGAGAATCCAGGGGGAGTGGTGCGTGTATTCGACTTTTCTTCAGCGATGATTCCATGCGCAATCGCGAGTCACTTCGCGTGAGCGTACCTAACGAAAGATCTTCTTTTCTCTGTACGTGTCTAGACATTGAAAAGATCGTTGGGATTGTAGAGTTCATTGTTATTGCACGGAAAAAGAAACATGGTGCGCACAGCCAGAGATATTTAGCCGCGGGCGACACAGAGTCGCGTCGCCCTGGCTACCTTAGTGCGACGGTAACGCGTGTATGGTTCCGTATCTTGCCGTCAAATCTGGCTGGCACCAGCGTATTGATGTAACCATCACCATTTCTTCTTTTTCCGTGCGGCGTACGTTGCCTGAGGAAAGAATCGTTTCCTAAAAGCCGAAGTCGAGGAACGTGACGACGCGTCTCACCGCAACGCACTCTTTCCTCGGACAGCTCGTCCGACAGCGGTTCCGACGACGACGACGTTCGGTAGCCGCTCATCCTCGCGGACAATTCTCTCTCGTTCGGACGTAGTCCCGGTTTTTGTGTACATACGACGACGGCAGAGACGAGACTTGAGTGCGCAAAGGGCGCACCGAGCGAGCGCACGCAGAAGTTTTTGCTCCCCCGTCGTTTCCCGGTCGTTGCGCGTCGTTTCTAGTCTCGCTCGTGCAACAATCGCTTGTGACGTTGGACCATCATCCGGATAATGAAAACTGTCAAAAATTGACCGAAGTATCTTTCCCTCCGCCGGTGCGACGTCGCGTCGCACTTATCGGATAATCGTCTTACTTCTAGCGATGATTCCTAACGAATCTTAATCGAAATGTATATGTGTGTACGTTACGTGTTGTTGTTACGTCTATGCGTATTATTATTACGTGTACATGAGAAAACGCGCTAGGGAGAGAGAGAGGGAGAGAGAGAGAGAAAAAAGGCTCTTCGCGGGCGTGCGTCGTGTAAATCAATTACCACGCGATTGCCGCGAAGTCCGATTGTCGATGATCGACAATCGCGAACCGCGAGTGCTTGGCGAGCCTTCCTTCGCGCCATGTCGCGCAGCGGCGTTGTCCTGCCCTTTTGACACGAGGCTCCTCGCAATCGTTCGTTATCCGTTCTCGAGGAGACCATCGGTGTCGGGCGAGAGAGCCGCGCCAGCCCTTTTTTTCGGCGGCCCGCCTCGCGTGCGTCGAGCCGTGCAATCGCAGTTGAAGATGCGTGTTTAATGCGTGAGCTGAGTACAGGTGTATTGCTCGAAATTGCGCGAGCCAAGAAATCGCTTCTCCGTCTGAAAACCCCCCCGCCCGTGTAAAGTATCTCAAAGTCCCAACGTTTCCAACATTTCTCTTCGCTAATTTGCTTCGCTTCGCTTCCCTCTCGACGAGACAGGCGAATGGAGAGGGAGTCGACACGCGACTATTGGCACCTTTTACGTAAACGCGATGTTTCCGCTCTTCCATTCCTTGGCATTTCGTTCCATCCGCAGGATCATACGAGCGATTTCTCGACTGTTTCGAGCAGTATGCGCTGCACACATATCAGGTGTAATATGTACCTTGACACTCACTTTATCGGGATTTTTCCCCTGCAACGAACTCGAGTTTCGCGTATACACGTAAGATTGAGGATCTTACGAGTAATTCCAATTATACAGCGTGAAGGTACATACGACGCCTGATGTAATCCTTATTGATCGTCAATTTAGCGTTCGCCGAGATGGTCTCGTCACGGATGCGCGTTTTAATTTTCTATATGTCGTTATGAAATTAACCCCTAGGAAAGGTACTCTACGTCTATTCCTCCGAACAGGATCCGACGCTTGACACTTTGACGACAGGTATCAAATCCTCACGAAATTCTTACTTAAACATGCGTCACGCTCGTTTAAGTATCCACCAATTGCCTGTAATAATAATAATTAATAACAATGGTATAATATTAATATAATGATGTCTCTAAAGATGAGTCCGCAAGTTCGCAAACAAGTCTTTTTGTTGCCGATTTTTCACCAATCCTTTGTCTTTCGATCGTATTTATTTATTCGCCGAATCTTTGTTTTTGTAGAATATATTTTTCGAGCGAGACGAGCGAAAAAATATCAGGTTGGTCGGAAAAACTCGCTCCTTCTCCGCGTGCGTCTCTTGCACGGAAGTAAGCACGGAAATGGAGCGAAATGACCTTTTCGACGAATCTAATATTCAGATGAATTGTATCGTCGTCATTGCTCTAAGTCATCGTGTGTGAGTGAATGTATAAGAGATACAGAGAGAAGAGAGTGGCGTCGACTCCCGTTCGAATCGGGCACTTTTGCATATTCGTTCCTAGACTAAACGCGCAACAGAAAGTCGAGATATCTGCGCGCGACGCGATGTGATGATAGACAGGGTGTCGCGTCGTGACGCTCCGCTTCGATTCTTGAGAGTTTGCGAGAACAATGCGAGAATCTGGAAAAAAAAGTATTTCTCATGTCATCACAAGCGTCCCAAAAATCGCGCTGTTCGTTACGACCAGCGTACTGCTTGGTGTATGTGTGTGTTGCTCTGTTTTTTTTAGCTGTACTGCTGATAGTGCAATAAGTTAGAGTGAGGCAAAGTATATTTGTTTCACTCTAACTTATTGCACTAATTCAACAGTGCAGCTAAAAACAACAGACCATGTGTGTGTATGTGTGTGTACTCCGTTTTGAATGTATTTTTCTCCGAATTGTTTGCGAACATGTCTCTCTTGCGGCTTCGTATATATATAAATTTCTCGTATTCTATTCGTATGATACATTTTCGGCACACTATTGACCTGTGACACAAGTTTTACGCCGCACTGTGATCGCAGTGCGAACATCAAGTTTTCGGCTGAGAACGCGCGCGATGAGTTACGAAGTATAAAATTACAATTCGGTTATAATTCAGAAGCGGCATGAGAGAGAGAGAGAGACAGAGAGGATAATTTGTTTTATGTATATATATGTATTTTCCTTTTTTTTACGGGACGCAGTATCTTCGTATGAACCAGCGCGGAAAGCCGAAGCTTATCGTTGCGAAAACCCGCGAAACTTGTGTTACGTATCAAGTCTTGTTATTATATAATAACTCTGATGTTACAATTATGCTTAATACCGTTTTACCGTGGATATGTGTAGTCCCGAGGCGAGGCGTCTTCACTTGCCGCAGCCGTTAAAGTGTCACATGTAAACAGTATTCTTTCGCGATTTCAAAGCTCCCATAGAATTGTATACCGAACTGTCATTATTTTTATGTCACTCCTGTGTAATAATAGAAATCAGATATTTTTTGGAACTGTGAATCAATTCTTAAAAAATGTACGAATCGATTAATAAATAATGCATGGCATAAAGTAACCAGTTTATATCAGAATATGTAATAATTATTTTATATGTATGATATAAACCTTCCCCGAAATCCTCCTTCAAAATCGATCATTTTTCTTTTATCAATTGACATTTTGGAGATGAGAATCAATCCTTAAAGAATATAAAATTTGACTAATAAATAATAATTGGTGTAAAGTAACTAGTTTATATCAAAATGTAATCATTACCTTGTTTATATTATGTTAAAATCCGAAATCGGTTATGTTCCTTACGAATTGACAATTAGGCTTTCTGATGACTTTACCTGAATGCTTTTATGCGTGGAATGTTAATCGATCGATGAAAGACATTAATCTTTGCCGGCAATTACTCCGATGTGTTTTCAAAATGTAGTAAAATCTGTTTTTTAATGTTTACATGCGTTTCCTCTGCGTCAATCCACTCCATATTTTGACTTTTGTAAGTTATATAGCGCGTCTCTAATGAAAGAGAGATATAGCGCCACCTGAAGCGTAATCCGCGAACTTTCTGCTGCCCTGTTTTACCAAGCCGTTCTGTCGGTAAAGTCTCGACCCTGGCACCCCCTCGAGGACAGCTTTCATATCCACGCGTAGCGTTGATTATCGTTATTTACGTTCGTGAACGTCCACAAGCCACTACCAAGTCCCTTTTTGTGCGTGCCGCATTTACAAAGTCCGCCGGATGTTTCCGGTGAAGCCTCTTAGCTAGCGTCGCTTTTTCCGACTTCAAAGCCGCGTCTTGTGTTCCTTCTAGCTACACCTTCTACACTAGCTCGCAATTTTCCTCGTCCCGTCTCTCACTCTCTCTCTCTCTCTCTCTCTCTCTCTCTCTCCCACCTGATCCCAAATACCTATTTTATACCAAGTACAGAAAGCGTGACAAAGTGCAGCTAACATTTATTCTTTGTCCTCTCTTTCTCTCTCTTCATTAAAGCCTATATCAGATCGGTGCCGAGGATCAAGATTAATTTTCATCGCAATGGCCAATATTATACAAACCTCAGAAAAACGCAATCTACTCGTTCGCAAATTCGGACCAATGAGTGTCCTTTAGAATTTTCTCAGCCAATAAACGGCCGGACAAGAAGAAGCGATCCCCAATTCGCAGTCCCTCGCCTTCAAACGCGCGATCTGACGCAGGCTTTAGCGTCAGTGCGTGCGGAGACGACGATACCCGGTGGAATCGACGCGCTCGGGTGGCAAAGGAGCGAAGAGATAGCGGCGGGGAGGGGGCAGCGTTAACAGCGGGCAAGGCCGCCATGTTGAATCGGTCTCGTTAATTTTTGCGGAGAGCCGTCGCGAACTTTTCCTCCGCGCGCGTCCGTGCGCGCGCTCTCGCAAGGTAGTGGCATAGCTGCGCTCAAGGTTGCGCGTCGCCCGGGCATCGCGCGCCGTGCGAACCGCCGTGCAGTTCGTGGGCGAGCGAGCGGGAGGGCGCTCCCTTCTTTCCCCCGTTGCCACGGCTCTGCCGGTATACGATTGGTGGTCCGCGTAAGCGCGTCCGCGCGCGACTCGCTTCTTTCTCCGCGGCTCTTCCTTCTCCGTGTCTCGTCCGCCGTGTCGTTGTCGGCCATGCACGGTCAGTTCCTGTCTGTGTCGCCTCGTGTCGTTGTTGCTCGTGAGTCCGCGTTCAAGACGCTCGGCCGTCTCTTGCGACGTGCGGAAAGCGACGCGCGTGTGCGTTTCGTGATCTGAACGCCGGTAGAAGAGATCTGGAAACGGCAAACGGAGTTGTTGGCGCGCGCGAGTCTACCGAGTTCGCCCAAAACGACCGACGAGACGAGGACAAGAGAGTGAAAGAAAGAGAGAGAGAGAGAGAGAGAGAGAGAGAGGGAGGGAAGGAGGGAGGGCGGGAGGGAGGGAGGGAGGAGTGTCCACGACGACGACGGCCACCACGATGATGCTGATAACGTTTGATAAGTGAACGACCGAACAGACGTAGATAGATAAATAGACAGGCAGCAAGCGGGCAGACAGGCGGACAAACGAACGAACGAACGAGAGAGACCGGCCGGTCGGTCGACTACACACGTGTGCACTGACCACAGATATGCGAGGCGTGCACGCCATGTCGAGTGAGTGACGGCGGTGAGTGCAGTGAGTAATACATTGTAGCGTGGCGTGCGTCCCGCGGATCGGCAGAGCGCGCCGCGCGAGGAGTGAAGAGTGCACGGTGTGAAGTGAGGCGAGAGAGAAACGACCGGCTGCGAGGAAGGGAAACATCGGCGGCCGCCGTGACCGACGGCCAGGAGGATTCTCTTCGCCCTGTGTAGAAATCGCAGCCCGACTCGCGTATGTCAGCCGATTCGCGCCGCCAATTCCCCGGGTCGTCCTCCATCGACCTCCGAGGTATGTTTTCGCGAATATGTCGCCGATATGTATCGAGTGGCGGAGGGGGTGGCCAAAGGGGGAGAGAGAGAAAGAGAAAGACTCGTGACGAGTGAGACATATACACACACACACACACACACTCTGTCGTTGAAAAGAGACATGTAAAGAAACGGAATAGTTTCCGGTAGATTAATTTCTCACAATTTCTTCCGCGCAAACGTCACCGTTTAGCGCCTTTATTTTGGACAATTTGGTTCGTGAATTGAAGTTTCTTTGTAACTCCCTTCGAGGCCCTTGATTCCTCGTCGCAATCAATCACTCTCGATCGATGACGTCAGACGTGAGAAAATGCACGACAAAAATTCTCGCAAGATACGTCGAAATAAAAAATATGTGTCCACAAGTCGGCACATGCAATCGATCGAGATGTGCAAAATAGTTCGCTTTGCATATTTACTCTAACGTATTCAAAGAAATTACCGTAAAATTAATGCGCGAAACCTACCTTCTTAACCTACCTTTTCTCGTGATTTTGCCGAGTCAGTTTTACGGTTATTTATTGATTATTAGAGCAGAAGGTGAGCGTTCGGAGCATTTTGCACGTCTGCTCGATCGATTGCGTGTGTCGTTTTATGGATACATCTTTTTGTTGCTGTGTATTTTGCAAAAATTTTTAGCGTGCACATTTTCTCGCTTTTCTGACGTCATAAATCAAGATGGCCGCAGTGAGGGATCAGGGGAGACCGAATTAAAAGATACGGGAAAGGTACGATTTGACCTAACCTTTAGGGCCCTGGGAACAACCTCCGCAAGCTAGTCGCTCTCCAGCCGGCCACAATTCGTGGACCGATTGCTTCCCTTCGTTACTGTTTTACGGTATCAGTGTATCGATCTGCCCGAGTTACACGGGACGTTACAGCGTACTTTCAGTTTTTCGTGAACGGACACTCGCCCGAATGCACGCGTCGAGCGAGCGGCCGCGCGCGATAGGAAAATGTGTGATCGTCGTTTTCCGACTTGATAAGCCAAGCGCAATTTGCCTAGCGATAAGGTCGAGCGCGGGATCTAAGCGCAAGGTGGTTCCCGAGGTAAATCCGCGTTCCCTAGGAGACGACTATTCCCGTGTAGAAAACTCGAGGCACGACACGTGCTGCGTGGCCAAGAAGCCACGCGGCGACGGCGGCGGCGGCGGCGGCGGCGGCGGCAGCCAACCGACCGTTGCATCTTGGGAACAGTAATAGATCGGTGTTCAACTACCGCGTCGCTCCTCACCGCGAAGCTGTCGACAACAAGTCTGTTCCTTTCAGCTGCATCAGCGTTGCGTCGGACCTCGATTCCCTTTATCTTCCCTTTTCCCGGTCCTACATCAGGGGATTTGAGTCTTAAGCCTTAAAAACTAATCAATCAAATTTGAGGAGAGTAATCGATTGTGATTGGTTGGCTTTCAGGCTTAAGACATAAATCACTTGAACGTGGACCGGAGTTAATATTGTATACTTGTCCACTTTAAAGCGCATCAAGAAACCCAACCTAGCTCAGCCAAAAAGAACAATATTGACATCTTCCACTCCATTTCAAAACATCCTTTTTGAGTTCCGGCCTAATCTCCGTTACGTGTGTTCGAATACTTTCGGATCTGATTTTTTTGGAATTCGTACCTCGGTACTTTGGATGAAAAGACAATAGAGATAAGTCTGAGTCCAAGTAAAATCAGGAGAAGAAAACATCCTTTTTGAGGAAAATTTTTTTCAATACCTGTATTTCACATATACTATAAAGTATCGAATAAAATTTTCTCAAAAAGAACGTTTTGCATAATGCAACCCTGGAACTCTATTTTGGACGTGTATCGAATGCTAAATATACTTTTCTGATCTTCAAGCCGAAACAACGTTATACACACTGAGGAAAAAAATATTTGAAAATTTCTTTGTGGGATATAAATTTTTATTCACAGAAATAGATTTCACATATATTCCACAAATAAATATCAAATATTTATTTTTAATGTATGTGAAGAGAGATTTAGGACCAATTGTTCCAATCTTTTAGTAAGCTAACTAAAATCAAATCAAAATGTCTATTTCTGTCTAATTTGCAAAAGAAACAAAGACAGACTATGAGTGAACTGTTAGTTAGCTTACTAAGAGGTAGGAAAAATCTGCCCCCAATCTGAGATTAAAAGAAAGATTAAAATCCAGTATTTATTATGCGTCCAAAATAAAACTTTTGTTATTTATTTCTTCAACGCATGTTCCATATTTCATGTTTGAACTTTATTTCTCTCTCTCTCTCTCTCTCTCTTTCAATATATAACTATAGGCACCTAACATGGCTGTTGCTCCAACGCTACTCGATGTTAAAAGATATGTATTGTGTTAATTTGGCAATTTCTTGATTAATAGATCCTTGAAAATAATTTCAAAATATTTTCCAAAAAAAATCTTTCATATTGAACACGTAAGTATCTACCATTATCGATCGACAGTTGAATCGATTGATTGGTAGACGGTTTGATCGATAGATCGATTGTCTTTGACGAACTTCAGGGCAGTATTCCATTAACCAATAGGAAGTTTCGTTTTCCGCAAGATTACTAAAAATTACTAGTTACCAAAAAGACAGATCATCTATCGGACGAATGTGTTTCGGAACTAGTCCAAGAGAAAGAGAGAGAGAGAGAGAAAGAGAAGGTATCGTGACTATTCGCGTGGAGATGCGGCGACGATTTCCCGGTGAGAATCCGTTCGCGCGTGCGACATGACATAACTCTACGCACCGCCGATGGAGTCATGCGTGCGTCTTTGCACCGCGAGTTTAGAGACCTCTGAGAACATATGACGTCATGTATAGTGCCGACACGCGGCGGCAAAGAGGCGGGAGAACCAAGAAAGAGAAGCTACTACGAGGATGGTACACGTTTAATTGGTTTATGTAAGGATCTACCACGTGCGGCGACTCTCTCTCTCTCTCTCTCTCTCTCTCTCTCTCTCTCTCTCTCTCTCTCTCTCTCTCT